TTATATATATGTGTGTTTGCATATCTATTCATATATCCATGTGCATAACTCAATATGCATCTGTATCTATCTGGTGTGTAAATATATGTGTATATAGGTATGGTGTATAGGTATGTATATACCTATAGGCATAAAAGGTCCATTTACACTATATATATGTATATACACACACATATACACAGTACTCACAATATTATACACACAGTGCACAGAATTTTATGTAGTTATATACACTCTATTATCTATAGCAGCCTTCCTGTGCCTGAAGGGGCTACAGGAAAGCTGAGGGGGGGGGGGTGTGTGTTGACAAGGGCTTGTAATGAGTGGACAAGAGGTAATGGATCAAAACTGGAAGAGGGGAGATTTAGGTGAGACATTAGGAGGAAATTCTTTAGTGTGAGGGTGGTGAGAGCCTGGCCCAGGTTGCCCAGGGAAGCTGTGGCTGCCCCATCCCTGGCAGTGTTGAAGGGCAGGTTGGATGGGGCTTGGAGCAACCTGGGCTGGTGGGAGGTGTCCCTGCCCATGCAGGGGGTGGGACTGGATGATCTTTAAGGTCTCTTCCAACCCAAACCATTCTATGATCTAGTATATAGCAGCTGGCAGTGCAGCACCTGTGTTACACTATAATACATTTTATGTATTTGGAGGGGTTTCAGCAGCACTGGTGATGATGCCTCAGCCTCCTGGCAAAAGCCAGTGGCTGAAGGACTGAGCCGTGCTGGCTGTCCACTCGGCCAGCAGACATGCCCAACCAGCTCTGTCTGGGGACAGTGACAGGGACTCCAGAAGCCCTGACAAGCCTCCTGGGCACGAGTGCCCCCCAGCCTGCATCCCCTCCCCTTGGCACTGGGGATGAAGTATGGACCAGGGGTTGCTTTTGGGACAAACAGCAAAGGGAGACTGGCCTCTGTCCCCAGGAAACCTGGAGTTAAGAGCAGCATCACCCAAACCATGTTGGGTTTTGACTCCCAAGGACAATGCAGGGGTGAAGCCTGTGCTGGTACCTGGGGAAGGGTTGGAAGATGAGGGGTGCCAAAGCTGGCACGAAGGGACCCACATCTCTACCATCCCTCTGAGCATGTTGGTGGCTCTCAGGGAGCTGGGAGAAGCCCTGACCTAATTTATTCTGACTTCCCAAGCCTTGGCCACCGCACAGCAGAGGCAGCTGGAGGAGCTGGGCAAACGTGGACACAGGGGCAGGTTTGGCCAGGGTCAAACCCTGCTGCCTCAGCAGAGCATCCCAGCAAAGTACCTGAGGGTTCTTCCAGAGCCTTCCAGGGCTTCGTTGCTCCATGAACGGCAGCAAATGGGGCAGCAAACAGGACCTGGGCCCTGAGGACAGGGATGTGCCAGCGCTGCAGGACCTGCCTTGCAAATCACCTGTAACAACATGTGCCATCCTGGTCACCTCTTCTCCAAAATGATAGTGCAAAATTAATTAGAATTAATTAATCAGAAAAGGGTAATAAGGGTGATTAAGCACCTGGGGAAAAGGAAAAAAAAATAAATAATATAATAATATTCTTGAAGAGCAATTGTAGCAGCAGTGATTACCCTGAGCAGTGGTGAGTGAGCTGGAACAGAAGGAGAGTGTGCAGGGATGAAAGGGGCTGAAAAAAAGGGTCTGGGAGGGGGGGGGTGTTCTCTGTCTCATCACACAAGGACTTACCAAGTGACAAGACTGAAACTGGTCAGAGGAAAAGCATTTCCCGGCAGCAGCGACCACAGGGAGGCAGCTGAGCTGAAGAGGGGAGTGGGTGGCTCTGCAGCGGCTGGAGCTGCTGCTTGCTGCTGCCGCCGCCGGGTTTTTTTGCAGCCTTGGCTTCGCACAAACTGGCCCTGAGGTTGGACCCATCTCCAGCAGAGTGGGACTCAACAGGGTGTCCTCGGTGGTGGTGGGACCCTCACCCCCTTTGCCAGGCTCAGGGGCATGGGGAGCTGAGGGCTGCTCAACTGATTTCTCTCTCCTCTCTGAATTTGCAGCTACTCTCAAGAATAATAATAATAATAAGAATAAATAATAACAATAACAAAACAATAATAATAGTAATAATAATAATAATAATGAACCCACAAGCAATAATTAATGGAACACTTTTAAGTGAAATTGGCTCCTGGTTCAAGGCAATCACTGCAGGTTTCCTTGAAACCTGAGGGGCCAACACTGAGCCCCTGGCCTTGGGGACACCGAAGGACTGTCCCCTCCCTGCCACCACACAGGGCGCTGGTGGTGGGGACAGCTCAGGCTTGATGGAAGGGTCTGCAGGAGCCCCAGGGCAGTCTGGTGGGCAGAAGACAGGAAAATGTCTTCTGTGGGAAGGGGAGCAAAGGCTGTGGGTTCTTGTGGGGAAGAGGTGGCAGGGATGGGATGGAGATGCCCCGTGGCCTGTTTGGAAGTGCAGGTGGCAGCCAGAGCGAAGCAATGGCCTCTGGTGGCTTCAGGGAGGGGAAAAGTGCTGGGTTTGGTCATTTCTCAGTGGATTTTGCAGGGAATGCTCAGTGCCAGCACTGAGGCTGCATCCTGGTTGCGCGGATTTTTGGAGGGCTGTGGGGGAGCAGGTCTGTTTTGGGGCCAACAAGTCCCTCCTGGGGCCATTAGGACATTTTGGGGTGCAAGTGGGCCCCACTGCCCCCCCCTTGCCACTGGTGTCTGGCCACTTTTGGCCGATTTCAAGTAGATTTTGTTCCCACAGGTGTTGTGCAAGTCGGTACCTGAAGGAGGGAGCAACTGCTGAGAGGACTCACCTTGAGCACCCACCCTGCCCTTTTCCCAGGGACACGCCGCAGCCATCCCGGTTTTGTCACTGTCCCCACAGCCACCCCCTTTCCCGAGGGCCTGGGCACTGCAGGTCATCCAGGGGAGGGGAGGGGGTGTCAGCGTGGGAGTGGGAGGTGGTGGTGTGGGATGTTGCCCTCCGACTGCGGGAGGGGCTGCCCAGCTGGGAATGGTCTCAGCACCATCCCGGGCTGTGGGGGGGGTGCGATGGGGAGGGGGCTACAGGTGTGATGAACCTGTCAGGTCTCGACACCCTTTGTTGGGGAGGCAGGATGGGACAGGGCAGGGACAGGGCAGGGGCAGGGACAGGGAGAGGGACAGAGAGAGAGGGACAGGGCAGGAACAGGGCAGGGACAGGGACAGGGACATGAACAGGGAAGGAACAGGGCAGGGACAGGGCAGGGACAGGGCAGGGAGAGGGACAGGACAGGGAGAGGGAGAGGGACAAGGAGAGGGACAGGGAGAGGGACAGGACAGGGAGAGGGAGGAGGGAGAGGGACAGGGCAGGGACAGGGCAGGGACAGGGACAGGGAGAGGGACAGGAACAGGGCAGGGACAGGGACAGGGCAGGGACAGGGAGAGGGACAGGGACGAGGAGAGGGACAGGGACAGGGAGAGGGACAGGACAGGGAGAGGGAGAGGGACAGGGACAGGGACAGGGAGAGGGACAGGGCAGGGGCCGGGAGAGGGGCGGGGCAGGGG